AAAGTTAGCAAATATTGAAACACCGATGAAAACATCTGAACTAGTAAAAGCAAAATCTCGCTTAATGACATCAATAGTGAGCAATAACACTTGTTCACCATTAAACAAAACAAAATTACCCAAAATTATTCATAATCAGATAGGCTATATCTCGTACAATCCCAGACAATATCTTAACGCGCATCGATCCATTCCATTAACATTTGAGCACATGAACGCTATTGCAGTCGAGGAGAAAACTGGTACATTATAATTTTACTTCACACTGTCCATCTAATATTTCTTCGATACTAGATGCAGCACATGATTGTAACATTCTTCTTAAAGACGAAATATTGACTGATAACAAAATTGGATCAATTGAAAATTATACATTAAAAAATATTGAATTATTATACCGTTGTATGACTACTGATTCAATGGCTGCATGGCCATTTTATCTCTTTATTCAGCAAACATTACCCAATAATTCTAATGTATTATCGTGTATTCGTTTCATTAGTGATGCTGAAAATTATATGGCAAAACAAAACCAACAACGTTTGGGAGTACAGTTAATACACAGGTATATTCTAAAACCATGAACAATGATATCTAATCAGTCATAATTATTTTTCTAAAGATTTTTAGACGAGACATCCCTCTACTATTTACCTATGGAAGTGTTTGATAATGATAATGATCGGCGGCAAAACTTGATATCTGAGATTAAATTATATGATAATAAACATGCGGCATTATGGCAAACATTATTAAAGATAACAAGGGTAGAGTATGCAAGAGAAAGAGAGATTTTCATTATAAATTGTCTGTCGATTACTGTTTTTGTCTTTTAGTATTTACAGGCATATTGGATAAAATTTATCATATTCGATCGATTACGTTTTTCTACACAGGTGAGTTTTTATTCCAACATAGAATTTTTCATCTTGGTTTTGTTTCTCTTCAACTAGGGCCAGTTTATCAGTGATAGTGAAATATTAGAAGATTTAAAATTGATTTTACCGAATGTTAACTTTGATACATTGAATGAAGAAGTTCTGGTACATTTCAATTCGGTTCAGACAAATCAGATAGCACACAAGGTACTCGAAGCATGTGATGCCGAATTACAATTAACTGTTAAAGTTGAACAATACAATACAATAGAGAAACAAGTAAATACAGATGAAACATGTGATTTAAAGGTGACAGGTAAAACAGTTTTACTCAAAGGCAAATCAGATGAATTCAAATCGCTCTGTAGTATATTCAATTGGGATGATTATGTAACGAAATTCGAACAATTCAATGAAATTCATCAAGCAGTAAGTTAGACTATTTTTTCATAATTATTTTTATTTAATTTGATTGTATTATTTTTTGTTTAGTCATTTACTGATAATCCATTGGAACATCTGTCGAAGGTTCAATCCGTAACAAACGCAGGCTTAAATGAATTTCATAATTTAGCCAAAAGCAAAACACAGTGGAAGAATGTTGATAAATTTGTCGAACATGTTATGAAATCAGCCTCCGATCAGATTTATCCAAATGGTAATCATATTGAACAGTTGATAGCCCATATAATTAATGAAAGTGTTAATGAATTTGAAAATCATTCGGGTTCACTTGTACTTAACAGACCAAAAGTAAGACATTATTTCTATAATGAATGCCATACGCATTTGACTAATTATAATTTTAGTACAATAAAACACCAACATTCGATGTACAAACGGAACCAATAGTAGATTTTGGTGTTATCGATGATGACATTGCTATGCACCAAAAAACTCAAAAATTAGACAATTTCAGAGTGAAATTTGATGATTATGAATTCCCTCCGTCGTCTCCAACTGAATATAATTTCAGCGGCGATACATCTGATATCAAAAGATCGAATAATCAAAATTCTATAGGACGCATAGAATCGACAATGGATAACAGCAATATTATACGACTTGAAAGCGATGTATTAGCAACAATTTTTCAAGATGAAAAAAATAAAGATAAAATAGTTGAACAGAAGGATAATAAAGCATTAGAAAGAATATTAGCGATTGATTTAGAACCAGGAATACGATCGAGTTATATATTAAAAGAATCTACTCTAGGTACAATATGTCATACTTTAGTTTCAAGATGAACGTTCATTGTCCTATTGTAGCTAGAGAGGAAGAGACATTTGATATTCATCAGTTTCTATCTGACAGTAGAGCGACTACTGAACATTCGAACGATTCATTGTCGATGAAACTTGACGATAAGACTGAGTACTATTTCATAAAAAATAAAACTAAACCACGTTCATCAGAAATAGAAAGATATCACAATGTATTATCGAATGACATACATGTCAATATCGAAAAAAAATCATTTATTTATGAAACAAAAACCAGTGAAACATCAGTACCATGTTTATCCGATGAATATTTGTTGTCAGATGAACAGAGATGGACACATTGGCTAATTGATTCCGAACGATCATCAACTATCTCAGACAAATTTTATAAATATTTAAAAGCTAATCAATTACAATCAGTCAATTATTTTTCAGTACATGAACAATATCATGTTACACCATTACTTTTTGGTCGTATTGGTTCGATGATAGTGAATGATGTCGGTATCGGATGTGTGAAACTCAATGTAAAAAATACAAATTTATTTCTCTCATTAACCACGATGCAACAAACATACGATCAATTGAAATTAATATTAGACCGTGATCATCTAATTAAAGTATACGTAGGAAAAAGTATTGAATTTTTAAATGGAAAAGTGACTGCTTATACAATAGTTCCAACAACAAATACATTGTGTCTAAGTTTTAAATCACTCTATATGCCAAAACGTCAACTAGAACAAAGTAAATCAACATGTTACGATTTAAACGTCAAACAACTTTATGAGGAAGATATCGGCATCAAACATGATCCAATTGTTGATGTCTGTTTCTCTGATATGAAAAATGACAATAAACTAGTTGGGTATGTGAAAAACGGAAGACAGGACAAATCGAACGACGCAAATTTTGCATTTGTCAAAAAACGACCAACATACTTAGGAGAGCAAGAACGAAACGAATTATTAGATTTTATAGATGCAGAAATTCAATCGTCGAAATGGCCTGTGAAAGAATATATTGGCATCAAAGGACACCGAGCATGGCGTGCATTAAAATTAGCTGCTGATATATCAGATTGGGGTAAGTAATCGATCACTTTCTTCTTTGCCATTAGATTAGGAACATCTCTAAAACAATACTGTATTCAGTCACAAGAGAACAGCTCTTCTATTATGCGATGATTTATTCCTCAATTTATTTTACGAGAGATTTTTAATCTGAGTGATTTTGTTGTTAAATCTAGATATCGGTTCCACCTTTGGTTATTATAACGAAAACGACTGGGTACCAGATAAAGAATTAGGCTCTTTTGGCGAACGAACCAGTATCCTTATGCGTCATCGCATACGCCGTGCAGAATTATATAACAAATGAAAACTTTTCTATTAAAATTATACTTTTACATATGCTCTAATTTTGTAAGATAATTTAAGTCAGTGAATTACTTGAAATTGAGATTAAAACACGAGGTTAACCACAAGTTGTCTGAACGCAAAGATTCCATATTTACATCAAAAATAAAAATCAGTCAAATGTTCTTGTCAAGTTATTTACATACAATTACAACAGTTAGATGAAAGAGAGTGTGTTTTTTTAAATTTTTGTTTAAAACAAAGTTATGGACTATATAGGAACATACCGTTAAGTTCAACCTTAATTACCTAATCAGGATTCACATATTATCTGCGAGTCAATTGCTATCTTAGCCTGACTAACGTGACACTTTTTTAACAAACGAGGATTCATTCAAATTTTAAAAAAATATCCTGATTTACTTTACTATTCAGACTTGATTTATATACCGACTTACCCAGATCCATATCTAAAAACTGTCCGTAGCGATTTTAAAAATTTATTTCCGCTCATTTTCTGAACACATTTTAAGTCACAATCCCGAAATTCGGGGTAGTAATTTCCAATTTTCTCAGCTCAGGAGAAGAATTTCAAAACTTGCCGCGGACAAATTTTAGGTACACGTCATAACTACAGAACAAAAAAACATTGAGGCCCTTTGATGAACCATCTAGGAAGAGTAGCCGTTTTGCTCCACGAGATCCCTATTCTGACAAAAACGCCATTAGTTAGCTAGTGATGATTTAGGGCTTTCAACAAAATTCGCATAACTCAAGAAAAGAAGATCACACAGACCTACTGGACGTCTCAAGTTGATCAGAACTCTCGACTCTACACAATCATCCGTCCAAAAACTTCAGCAAGTTGACAAATTCAAGTGAAATTCAATTTTTAAGAAACCCGGTTTTAGGGTTTCTAGATTAGTCCTTGAAAAAAACTTATGAAAAAATTATGCGAGTATCGAAAAGATCTTCTAAATAATAGTAAAACAGCTAATTGGCAATATAATACTATAGAGCGAAATTATTCATTATGCGTGTCGTCAAAGCATACTTAATTGTTTTAGATAGGATGTTCATTCTAGCAAATACAATATAATATCTTCCTTCGAATGACTCACGCATGTTAAAAAAAAGCTCTCTGTGAGTTACGATTTAGAATCTTGCTATGTTGTTATGAAATCTCATTGTGATTCAGAATATGCTACTCTCATAATTTTATTTTGTGTTTTTGCGAAAAAATCGGAAGAAAATCTCGGATTAATCATGTACTTAATCATTAATGAACTGGTGAGTTATTTAACGATTCCGTCAGGTACTCCCAAGTAATCGGTAGGTGGTGGCTGACAACTGTTTTCATGTATGTTTACGAACGAATTTCTTCTCATTCCCTTTTTTTAAAGTTTTTTCTAAGCTGTCTCGTTCTATCGCGTCTCGTCTTGCAAAATTTCGCTAAACGAGACCGTTTCACCCATCTCTATTAGAGATTACGCATAAAAATTCATAAAGTCCAAATTGAGAAGTAAACTAGAGACATCTCGGCTAAAACATTCAATACTAATATGATGACTCTATGAAAGAGAGAAGATAAGGATGTTGCTAACTCATTCTCTATAGACATTCTCAGTCAGGAATGAATGCTTTTACTCAAAAAGATATTGCGCTGATGAAATGCTTGAGAGCGCTACAAGCTCTTTCTTCATGTTTGTCACGCGACATCAGAGTTGAGAATGCGAAGTGGATTTGTGTTGGGCTTCGACGTAATGCTGATTGTCGAATAAAAACCTTAGCAGGAATTTGACTATTCAATCTATTTTTACAAATTGCGTGCACTGTACCGAAATGTTACGGTAAATGTGTAATATATCACGGTAAAATGTGTAATATATCACGGTAAAATGTTGGTGTCAGATTATTTGTAAGTCAGTATGACTCTTGGCATGACATTATTGCACATTTAATATGTCACCATCTAAAACATGACGTTGCTAAACTGTTGAGACATTTTGATGGTTTTACCGTCATTCTTCAGCGTAGCTGTTCACTATTCATCCAAAATAGCTGTGACTTAGTAACTGGCATGCATTTTTGAAACGGCTTGCTGTTAAAGAAAAACACATGTAAAATGCCGGAAACCTGGCACGATCTACCACTCACTATATAAAGTTTTTAAGGATATAGAACAGTTTTTCAAAAGATTTTCGTGAGTTTTCAAAAAAAGGACTTATTTATAAGCGTATAAATTTTGGTTGATCAAAACTTTGCAACCAATGAGCTAATCAGCATTTGCAGCAGTATTTTCTAGCATCAACCATTTTTAGCAGACTGTTTTGGATAGAAAAGGCTGAGTACTAATGGAAATACCACCCACTTTCAATACCGTTTTGAACAACGTTAAAGATGTTAAAAAACTACAAGAAGCGAAAAGTTCGCCTTTATCTCTCGTCTGTTAAAGAGCTTCAGTGGCAACTCAAAAAGACGGATTATCCAATAAATTAAGGAAAATTTTCAATTGGAAAAGGCGATTCTTGAGCCTTAATCAACGAGCTTAGTAATCTTTATAATGGTGATCTTTATTTCTCAGTACCTGCACAGACCTACGGCACATTTGTAAAGTGTTATGTATATTATTTGTTTAGAAATATGATTCCGATTTTTTGTTTTTCTCTGGATTTGTTGTAAAAAGTGAAGAAAATCATGAAAGATTCATTTGTTGAAGAGCAATTTGTACCGATGGATGAACAACATCATTGCTTAGGTAAGAAAATCATCTTTAATCAGAGCCGTAGCCAACTGATGAGATTACCGACACCGACCCTCAACAAAGGGGAAAAGAGATAACTCTTGATGAATAAAAATTTTTCGTTTCACACACATTTATTTTTCTACTAATGATCCTTTTTAGAAAGTTTTCGAATCTTTAATCTATAAAGAATTATTGCTTTCTTTAATTAGATGACGAAGAAAGGCCGACAATGATTGCACAATTAGATAGTTTACAAAAATTAAAAGAGGTAAAATAAAACAATTACATTCGTCTAATGTAATATTTCATTTTCTTTTTTATCTACTTAGATCGGCTGGTATTGGGGCTGTTTAAATTGGAATGAAGCAGAAAAATTACTAAAAGATAAACAAGATTATTCATTTATTGTACGTGATAGTAGTCATCGACATTATTTTCTCGCAATCACGTTTAAAAGTAATGGAAATATTCATCATGCAAGAATTGAACACAGTAACAGTAAGTTTTATGTTTTCAAATCATGTTGTTGCATTATAGAGATGTGTGATGATTAAAAATATTCTATTCAAGATAATTGTGAGATCTGATTCTAAGAGATTTAATTGACATCCTTTTTTTTACCTAATAAAGTAATGAAATCGGGCAATCTAAGTGAACAGTATAGTTTTATAGTCTAATAACGCTGTTGTTTTCAAACAGTTTACTCATCGTGTTTATTTATTTGTGTAGATTCGTTCAGTTTTCAAAATAATTCTTCAAAATCACAATGTACATCGCCAGATGTTGTCAAATTTATTGAAAATACAATTGAACATTCGAAGAATGGACAATTCATGTTTTTTGTTCGTACCAACGTAGATGGTAAGGAAACTCTCTACGTACAATTGTTTTTCAATTAAAGTTTTGTCTTTAAATCATTTTTTTAGGTCAACCACTAACACCTGTACGATTATTATATCCTGTTTCACGTTTATCTCACATTACATCTTTAAAACACATATCCCGGTTTTTAATTCATCGATACATTAGACGTGATCGTATTGAAGAATTAGATATTCCTGCTCGTCTAAAAGCCTATTTAAAAGAGCCACAAATTTATACAGAATTAAAACTTTAAACAATTTTTTAATTTGTTTTTGTTTTTTAAATTCTATTTTGTTTAACATCTATCTAATTGACTATCACTCACCTTTTTTTTTATCACCCCTAAAATTTTGAACAGGAATGTGCCTTATTGAAACAGTTGTCTTCTACTTTCTTTTTGTTGTTCTTATAATAAATGATTACATACAAAATCATTTTGTTTTTGTTTTGTATCACTTTTCATATAAATATTTATTTATTTTTTCTTGTATGAGCGACAATCACGTATTTTTTTTGTTTTCATTTTCACTTCAGTATATTTGTCAAATTTCGTCTAATTCACAAATAAATTATTCAATAAAAAATTGTTTCTAAACTATTGCAATTAATTTTAAGATAAAAAATTCAATAGTTTGATTTTGTACAATAAAAAACCAAAAATTGAATTCAATAGATTTTAGTCCCATGTATCCGTTGAAATTGATACAAGACGATGACTATGATGAACGTACATAACGACAGAGTAACCGTCTTAACAGCTCAGCACTTCGATAATGATACAAAAAGTCTTTTGAAGTGCTAACAATATTGTCAGCAGACTCAGATTTTATGTTAAAAATAAAACCTTGTATGTAAAAAGGACGTTCTATCTGTCTACATGACTGTGATATGTACAATTAATTTAATTATACTGTTATCTTTTTTGTTTATGATACTATGATGAGAGAATGTCAAAATCATAAAACATTTTTAATCATAATACTATCATAAAATAATTACTATTAGTAAGTAATAGATGATGGATAAAATTAATTTATTTTGTTTAAATTTTTATCGAATATGTACATGTGTGCGCGCCATTCTTTTATTTATTTTTTTTTAATTTTGTGGCAAAGATTTATTTGACTAAAGAGTGAATATTTTAACTTGTCTACCTTCTCTTATCTTCTCTCGTTGTTCCATTTTGTTGTGATATGGATAAGAATAATGTTCTAAACTAAAAGATAACAATTTCAAAAAAACAACAACAAAAAAACTAGATTTTTTCTTCTCATTATAATTACATGAGATCGTTTAGTAATGGATTAGAAAAACATCGAAGAGAAATTATTAACATAAGTCAAACATTTGATTCGAATAATAGATATATACTCTTTAATTATAATCAATCTGCTTTGGAACCACAGTGAGTATTCTCATATAATTACTATTCTCTTTTTTTTGTCTCTATAAAATTGTTTTCTATTTTAGAGCTACAGCATTCTACGAACATTTTACACAAGATCATCTTAATTCATTGAAATCATCGGGACGATTTAATTCATTACCCATTGGCAAACAATCAATAGTCAATGAACCTCGAATATCAATACCTGAAGATCAAAATAAATTTATACAAGAACAAACATGTTGTAAAGCATTTCGTTTATCAAATATATGGCTGTTTATTATTATTATAGCACCAGTGAGTTGTATTGTTATTGGATTTCTTTATCGTAATAAATGTCCACTAGAAAAATGGATACCATTGTGGCAAATTGTAAATGGTATTGTGACACTTTTTTTTCTAATTTTAATATTTATAACAAGACAAATATCAACAATCATCGTAGTATCGACAGATGTTCTGTCACAAGATGATGAACTAAATAATGGAACGATTAACAATTTATATAATACAAATACAACATTTGAGAAATCGAGTATGTTTAAAATAAATAATGGGTTTCTTAATAGTATAAGAAATAAATTACGAAATATGAAGCGTCAAAATACAATTATATTTATTACCGATCAAATTAAAATTTTTATTATTTTATTCTTACTCGCTTGGTTTATCTGCGGAAGTGTAAGTATTGGGAATTTATCATCCACTCTTTCTCACTGCATTCAACATTTTTCATTACATTCAAATTTCGATTAATTACTCAAGTTAGAACAGAAAATATACATCTATATGTCATATCTACTGTTTTTCTACGTATGCATGTGTAGGCTTATTTTTCAATCGCCAGCAATTGTCAAGTTAGGAGAAATTCCCCTTGAGCGGATAAGTGAGATCAAGTTGTTCAGGCTCTACATTTCTCATGACTCAAAATGGGCTAGTCACATTGAAAAAGTCGCGATGAGATACAGACGAATGCGGGGTGTGATATATCGGACTTTTCGAGATACTCCTGCCAAATTGAAAAAACATTTCTATGAGACTTTTGTGGCAAGATCTGTCTTTGTGTATGAAGAAATTGTCTATGATTTAGCTCATTTCGAGCCCTTAAATTCACTTCAACGTCTTGCTGCTCGCATCATAAGTGATGACTTCGTCTCTTCTTCTTCAGAAGTTTCAGAAAGTTGCCCACTCGAATGCTTAACACGACGGAAATATTTCTGGAAAACGTTGATGGGGATGTACGGCTTTGGCTCGTTTTTCCTTTAGTTCTTTTTCTACAACGCGGCATTGTCCTTGCAAACACTTATTTCAAATTGAAATACTTAATTCTACATCGGTCATGAGTCATAATCTCTTAATTCCGACAATAAAAGACTTGAACAGCTTAACGCCCGATGTTGTGACACTTTCTTCCTTCAATTTATTTGTTTTAAAAATACAACAGTTCCTTTAGGAACTAGTCATTTGTAATTTTTATCTTTATATGTCATGGGATAGGCGTCTATAAGCCTCCAACTTTTGTCCATGTCCTTTCTCTTTGCCACTGAGAATAAATAAATAAGTTACAAAATAAATTACGGCAATAGAAAATATTTTCCCACTGACGTCTAATTCAGTTTGAGTAGTACTTATTGTTTGTGATAGTAGCCATATATTAACAGTATAGAGTCGTGTTTATTTCTAGATTTGGGTATACAGAAATTATACGAAAGTACAATACAAGAAGAGATATTTTAATCAATGGATATTTGATAATAAAAATACAACGAAAAATAATCGAAATTTTTATTGTGCTAAAACATGTTATTTTCATGCATTTATTTATATGACTACAGTATACGTTGCGCTTACCATTTGTCTAGTTTGTTTTTTGATTCAAATAGTTAGACAATGTCTATTACGTAGAAGACGAAAAACATTGTGAACATGAACACAATTGGATAGAAAAATTATTTATATAATTTATTATTTGCATTTTAAATAAGAATGTGTCTTTCAATGTATCTCTCTATTTCTTTTAGAATAGTTGTTAAATGTTACAATTTTTTGTTATTTTTGTTTCTGTTTTCTACTGATGTTTAGGATCTTTGTTTTCTAACACAAACTTCAAATGGAAAACAAGATAAACCATATCTGTGACACCGGCATTCTAAATATATCAACACCGGTCAAAAGCATAAAACGTGTATATCAATAAGAGAAAATCGTGTTTGCAATCTCTGACTGATGTACTATTCGATTTGTTCGACAACGCTTCTCAATCAACAATATTGATCAGTTGTAGCATAGAATGTACCGATTTCAACGTATTGAAGCACAATTCGATGTTACCTATGCTCTGGTGATCACACAATTAGTGGATATTTCCATTGCTTATGAAATATAATATAATGAAAATGTATGTTAGTGTCATTTGGTACTATTCTGCTCGTGAAACGAGTCAATCATCATTAGCAACATTTGTAGTTCAAGAATTATCAAAATAAAATTTAAAAGAACTATCAAACGAATATAGATTATGACAATAAAACCATGATTATCTAATTTTATTACTAAAGACTATAAATTTCTCTCTGTTTAACAAAATCTCAAACAAATCATTTAGTTCTGTATCAGTAGGAATAATGAAACATCTCTTCATCATCCTTCTATATCACCAATTTACTGTTTTTCGAAACTTTTAACCTTCATTCAATAATCTTTCTAAATAAACATCAACTTTCATCTATTCTTATTCTCGCATACACATATTTACATTTACACAACATTTAGTATTATTGTATCTTGTAATATTACTTGAACTAAATTGCTCTATATTCAGAGATTTGTTACTATCCTTCCTCTGCTACTACCACGACTATTCAATCGAGACTAATCTTAGTATGTGGTTTTTTGATTTCTCAAGACTCTTTATCCCAAATTTTCTCTTTATATATTGTAAAATTTGATGTATGGAGTTGTATACTATAAAAACCATAATAAATCAGTTTCAATACATATTTTATGTACTTTTGAAATATGACTATATGGTTAAATTTTCTTTTTCATTTATTTTTATTCTCTAATTATAAATTATTTATCGCGTGAATCAGTCATCAGGGTAATGGAAAGAAAGAAAAATGAATGACGGAAAATTTCTCAAGTTTATTTTTAGATATATTGTAAATTTCTTTTTTTTAAAACTGCAGTCGCTTTATTTTACCTTCTTTCAACCGTTGTTTTGCAAAATGGCATCTGCCTCCACGGTGACATTTGTAACGGGCAATAAAAATAAATTAGCTGAAGTGAAAGAAATATTAGCCGATGTTGTACCATTATTAAAATCTCAAGATTTAGATCGTAAGTGTAAATAAAATACAGAGAGATTAATCATAAATGTGCATATTTTTAGTACCTGAATTACAGGGTGAACCAGGTGATATTTCTAGTGAAAAAGCAAAATTAGCTGCAATTAAAATCAACGGACCGGTTCTCGTCGAAGATACATCGTTATGTTTTAATGCACTCAATGGATTACCGGGACCTTACATAAAGGTATGATTTATTGAACATATATTTATTTTCTAATTTATTTTCTTCTATATTTATAGTGGTTTTTGGATAAAATTGGTCACGATGGTTTGAATAATCTTTTGTCAGCTTATACTGATAAAACAGCTTATGCACAATGTGTGTTTGCATTTTGTGCGGGTCCGAACAGTGAACCAGTTGTGTTTGATGGACGATGTCCAGGACAAATTGTAAAAGCGAGAGGACCAACAAATTTTGGTTGGGTATGAATATTTGGTTTATATAATTACTTTAGTTTTCGGTAATATTTAATGTCTATTTAGGATCCAGTATTTCAACCGGATCATCCAACATTAAAACTAACATTTGCCGAAATGAATAAAGCGGAAAAAAATAAAATATCTCATCGCAGTAGATCATTAGCATTACTAAAAGAGTATTTTATAAAACATCCAGAAATTTTAAAATAAACGATCGATTCGTTGGTTAATGATTCATATAATTAACTTTAACATGTGTAAGAAATGTGTACAAGATTATTTTGCTTTGTTATTCAAATAAATCATCTTAAGGAGATTTTCTCAACATCTGACGATAATTGCATCGCAAATTGTCGATTTTTACTATCAAGTAAGTAGTACATGATATTTTACTTAGATAACGTTAACGATTTTTTGCAAATGGTAATTCTAAAAATTTCTAATTACTGTTCTTCAAAACACAATTTTTTTTTTTTATTAATATTCATTTGATCATAATTTTCTTTATCATTCGATTTTTTGATCATAAAGTTCATCATCTTCAATTTTCGATCTAAGCCAATATCTTCGTTAAATGTTTCCAGTATTCGAAAGTTGTCTTTATCTGTTACGGACTTCCTCCCTCTTCCCAATGTCCGCTTTCTCACAACCCTTATTTTCTAAAATTTGGATATCCTTTTGTTAGTAACACGACACTTGCTCTCCTGACAAATGCTTCCTTGCGACATTTGCTCCCCAAAGATACCTGCTCCCATTGAAGAATCCAAAATAATTGTTGAAAAGTTAACAGTTGATAGAAATTGGCAAAAAGTTAAAATAGTTATAAACCGATTTATAAATCACCCTATTTCGGACTCTTCAATGTCTGCTCCCCAACGACAGATAACACAGTTTCGTACAGAAGAAAAAAGAAATACTAAGTGATATTGAACAAGTAAAATAGGAGGATGGCATAGATCGATTGTGGATCATCATACAAATAAACGAAATAGAGCAACACTACTTTGGTCAATGGACTATGGGCAATAAATCAGATTACAAAAAGAAAGCACTCTTTTTAAATGATCATGACGATCAGCGAAATTGAAATCTTTAGTTACATAGATTTGATTGACATAAGCTGGACCGAATGACGTAGAAGAAGAGAGCGTAGTGGCGTTCGTCGAAAATCTGTTTCCTTCTGGAGGTTGCCAGAGAACGACTGAATTGTTCTCTCCTGGTATTGGAAATATTAAACATTGCCTTCCAGATTTGGATTGTCCTAATTCACAAACTGAATAATAGTCGTACACGGTGCCATTCATATGATAAATTTTCCTCCGGAGAAAATTAATACTTGCCAGAATTCCAATTTCTGGCGCACCGATAGAATATAAAGCGCCTCTTCGGATAAATAACTTGACTATATGCTCGGATAACTCAGAGAACTCGAATTTGTACCACAACTTCCTAAAAGGTGTTAAATATAATAAAATCGCATAACATTAATTAAGTAACTTGATATACCTACAGAATAAAATAACAGCACCAAGTGAGTCTATCGTAATGCAATGAACACATAGCGTTCTTGTAGGGCTAATTTTATGAAAATACTTAAATTGTTTATTAAAAAGTCAAGTTTAATATTCATCACTTAAGAATATTCGTCCAATACTTTACATATCAGCTATAATTAGGTATGCATTGGTCAGTTAACCAACGTTTAGAATGGACCGAAAACAAAATAGTCGGTTAGCCGAAGATATTTTATGTTGTGTCTTATTGTTCTTGTTTCATTAGTGTTTATTTCGTGTCGTTGGGATGGGACAGAAACTAAAGAATGATGAATAAAAAAAGAGATATCGGGACTTGCTTTGACATCTCGCTGTTGAGTAAATTTTTGATATCGAGAGTCATAAAAGCTTGATCGATTTTAATGTAAAATATCTCAGAATAAATATATCTCCAAATATTAAGTTAAAAACGTACATGCAACAATAGCAGTTTTGATAACATTCTATGTTATGCATTTGAATTTGTAATTAAATATTTTAACGAAAAGGCATTTATAATACAGCGTAACTTTTTACTTAAAACTGAAGCAATAAAATTTTCGATGTCAAAAATTAACAATAATGAGAGTAAATCTTGAAAGTTTACATTTTATTTTATCTATTTTTAATCATGTGGCTGTCATCTACTCGGCAACTACTTCTCAAAATCTTAACAGGCGGAAGGAATTTCAATATGACGCCACTTTTAGGTATGCATCGGTTTCTGTTATCGAAACAAACCACAATCTATATTTGATGATACCGAAACAGATGACAAGTAAAAACAGCAAATGCAACAATAATCTCAATCACAACTTACAAAAAAAGTTAAATCAAAAAGTTCGAGAGCAAGTGCCGCGGGAGCCACTGTCAGAGGAGCAACTGTGGTAGATTCCATTTTGTTTGACGCATCGTCCCATACTATTGTCCATTTCAAAATAGAATGCAGTCGGTTGTTTGTGTACCGTTAGAAAGAGAATGATTGGCATACACATATTTACATTTACACAACATTTAGTATTATTGTATCTTGTAATATTACTTGAACTAAATTGCTCTATATTCAGAGATTTGTTACTATCCTTCCTCTGCTACTACCACGACTATTCAATCGAGACTAATCTTAGTATGTGGTTTTTTGATTTCTCAAGACTCTTTATCCCAAATTTTCTCTTTATATATTGTAAAATTTGATGTATGGAGTTGTATACTATAAAAACCATAATAAATCAGTTTCAATACATATTTTATGTACTTTTGAAATATGACTATATGGTTAAATTTTCTTTTTCATTTATTTTTATTCTCTAATTATAAATTATTTATCGCGTGAATCAGTCATCAGGGTAATGGAAAGAAAGAAAAATGAATGACGGAAAATTTCTCAAGTTTATTTTTAGATATATTGTAAATTTCTTTTTTTTAAAACTGCAGTCGCTTTATTTTACCTTCTTTCAACCGTTGTTTTGCAAAATGGCATCTGCCTCCACGGTGACATTTGTAACGGGCAATAAAAATAAATTAGCTGAAGTGAAAGAAATATTAGCCGATGTTGTACCATTATTAAAATCTCAAGATTTAGATCGTAAGTGTAAATAAAATACAGAGAGATTAATCATAAATGTGCATATTTTTAGTACCTGAATTACAGGGTGAACCAGGTGATATTTCTAGTGAAAAAGCAAAATTAGCTGCAATTAAAATCAACGGACCGGTTCTCGTCGAAGATACATCGTTATGTTTTAATGCACTCAATGGATTACCGGGACCTTACATAAAGGTATGATTTATTGAACATATATTTATTTTCTAATTTATTTTCTTCTATATTTATAGTGGTTTTTGGATAAAATTGGTCACGATGGTTTGAATAATCTTTTGTCAGCTTATACTGATAAAACAGCTTATGCACAATGTGTGTTTGCATTTTGTGCGGGTCCGAACAGTGAACCAGTTGTGTTTGATGGACGATGTCCAGGACAAATTGTAAAAGCGAGAGGACCAACAAATTTTGGTTGGGTATGAATATTTGGTTTATATAATTACTTTAGTTTTCGGTAATATTTAATGTCTATTTAGGATCCAGTATTTCAACCGGATCATCCAACATTAAAACTAACATTTGCCGAAATGAATAAAGCGGAAAAAAATAAAATATCTCATCGCAGTAGATCATTAGCATTACTAAAAGAGTATTTTATAAAACATCCAGAAATTTTAAAATAAACGATCGATTCGTTGGTTAATGATTCATATAATTAACTTTAACATGTGTAAGAAATGTGTACAAGATTATTTTGCTTTGTTATTCAAATAAATCATCTTAAGGAGATTTTCTCAACATCTGACGATAATTGCATCGCAAATTGTCGATTTTTACTATCAAGTAAGTAGTACATGATATTTTACTTAGATAACGTTAACGATTTTTTGCAAATGGTAATTCTAAAAATTTCTAATTACTGTTCTTCAAAACACAATTTTTTTTTTTTATTAATATTCATTTGATCATAATTTTCTTTATCATTCGATTTTTTGATCATAAAGTTCATCATCTTCAATTTTCGATCTAAGCCAATATCTTCGTTAAATGTTTCCAGTATTCGAAAGTTGTCTTTATCTGTTACGGACTTCCTCCCTCTTCCCAATGTCCGCTTTCTCACAACCCTTATTTTCTAAAATTTGGATATCCTTTTGTTAGTAACACGACACTTGCTCTCCTGACAAATGCTTCCTTGCGACATTTGCTCCCCAAAGATACCTGCTCCCATTGAAGAATCCAAAATAATTGTTGAAAAGTTAACAGTTGATAGAAATTGGCAAAAAGTTAAAATAGTTATAAACCGATTTATAAATCACCCTATTTCGGACTCTTCAATGTCTGCTCCCCAACGACAGATAACACAGTTTCGTACAGAAGAAAAAAGAAATACTAAGTGATATTGAACAAGTAAAATAGGAGGATGGCATAGATCGATTGTGGATCATCATACAAATAAACGAAATAGAGCAACACTACTTTGGTCAATGGACTATGGGCAATAAATCAGATTACAAAAAGAAAGCACTCTTTTTAAATGATCATGACGATCAGCGAAATTGAAATCTTTAGTTACATAGATTTGATTGACATAAGCTGGACCGAATGACGTAGAAGAAGAGAGCGTAGTGGCGTTCGTCGAAAATCTGTTTCCTTCTGGAGGTTGCCAGAGAACGACTGAATTGTTCTCTCCTGGTATTGGAAATATTAAACATTGCCTTCCAGATTTGGATTGTCCTAATTCACAAACTGAATAATAGTCGTACACGGTGCCATTCATATGATAAATTTTCCTCCGGAGAAAATTAATACTTGCCAGAATTCCAATTTCTGGCGCACCGATAGAATATAAAGCGCCTCTTCGGATAAATAACTTGACTATATGCTCGGATAACTCAGAGAACTCGAATTTGTACCACAACTTCCTAAAAGGTGTTAAATATAATAAAATCGCATAACATTAATTAAGTAACTTGATATACCTACAGAATAAAATAACAGCACCAAGTGAGTCTATCGTAATGCAATGAACACATAGCGTTCTTGTAGGGCTAATTTTATGAAAATACTTAAATTGTTTATTAAAAAGTCAAGTTTAATATTCATCACTTAAGAATATTCGTCCAATACTTTACATATCAGCTATAATTAGGTATGCATTGGTCAGTTAACCAACGTTTAGAATGGACCGAAAACAAAATAGTCGGTTAGCCGAAGATATTTTATGTTGTGTCTTATTGTTCTTGTTTCATTAGTGTTTATTTCGTGTCGTTGGGATGGGACAGAAACTAAAGAATGATGAATAAAAAAAGAGATATCGGGACTTGCTTTGACATCTCGCTGTTGAGTAAATTTTTGATATCGAGAGTCATAAAAGCTTGATCGATTTTAATGTAAAATATCTCAGAATAAATATATCTCCAAATATTAAGTTAAAAACGTACATGCAACAATAGCAGTTTTGATAACATTCTATGTTATGCATTTGAATTTGTAATTAAATATTTTAACGAAAAGGCATTTATAATACAGCGTAACTTTTTACTTAAAACTGAAGCAATAAAATTTTCGATGTCAAAAATTAACAATAATGAGAGTAAATCTTGAAAGTTTACATTTTATTTTATCTATTTTTAATCATGTGGCTGTCATCTACTCGGCAACTACTTCTCAAAATCTTAACAGGCGGAAGGAATTTCAATATGACGCCACTTTTAGGTATGCATCGGTTTCTGTTATCGAAACAAACCACAATCTATATTTGATGATACCGAAACAGATGACAAGTAAAAACAGCAAATGCAACAATAATCTCAATCACAACTTACAAAAAAAGTTAAATCAAAAAGTTCGAGAGCAAGTGCCGCGGGAGCCACTGTCAGAGGAGCAACTGTGGTAGATTCCATTTTGTTTGACGCATCGTCCCATACTATTGTCCATTTCAAAATAGAATGCAGTCGGTTGTTTGTGTACCGTTAGAAAGAGAATGATTGGAGGCACCTATCTATCTGAGAATAAAAATGCTTAAAAAGTCTTCAAGAATTTTTCTAGGAGGCTTCTGAAAACCCATTAACTGGTTCCATTGATCAGATGTAAATTCTCAATTTCAATTTAGAATACATCTGAATCAATAAATTTTCGACTACTCTAAATCGCCTGACACCGTTTGCTCCCTTGTTAGAGTTGAATCAAGGCCAATAAGCCAATATAAAATTTTTGCGAACATCAGCAAAAAAGCCAGTTTTTATGTGCTACCTGGCTTCCAATGATATGACCTCAATTTGGTCACCTCTTATACAATTGAGCTGAAACTTTCAGAAAAGAGTCAGAAGACATTCTTCTGCTCAATTCCAGTATCAAAAAACGGCCATTTACATCCAGAAATTGACAGGCTTTCTAGAGATCCTTTAAAAGTCCTTTGAAGTTTGTAGGAAGCAGGTTGACGGGTTAGCAGGGTTTAACGGGTTTTTCCAAAAACTCTTAAAACGATTATTAAGCAAACTCCAAAATTATTCGTCGTGCTCCTTTTCAAAGTCTATCAGAAACAAACAACAATAAGTTTGTTTCTGATTCTGATCGTCTCTGAATATTTTAAATATTAGTAGTAAGTACACATGTTCTTTTTGTCAATCTACCTTAGTTTTTCAACGGTATAGTTAATATCTGCATGTTCTAAAGTTTGTTTTGTACAGCTATATTGTAAAAATCTCTTCCTTGATAGTTTTCCTTTTGACATCTAGTCTCATTCTTCTGTTATATTGTTTAATTTCACCTGAAAAAAAAAGAATAAATACATATTGCTAATACACCAGATGCTTCTTCTTTTTCATCTGTTTTTTCATCGAATAAATTAATCGTTTTTTGCTCTCATAAGAGCGAGAATCAACGAACGAAAATCTAATATAGAATTATACGTGTCGTAAACCAACCTATAACAAGGAAAAACAAAATTTTTTCATAAATTTCTGGATCCGAAGAAGCACAAAGGACAATTGCATGTTTTTTTTGTGTACAATCAACGAGTGTGATGATCTAAATGACGTACAGCAAAAATGTACCAACTGACTATGGTCATTGAATAAAATTGAGTACAAAATAAAAATCTTTAGAAATGATAAATGTTTTTTCGTAGACGGGGTCTTTCTATAAATTATTAATCGATTATTTATATATAAAACTAATCGAAAAATGACTCATACTCTGATACAACTGTATCGTTTATTCGCCTACAGCACCTAATGAATAAAAAAATATATATCATAAGTCATTTCTACTAGTATATCGTGAATTGTGACAGAGAAAGATAATGAATTTTACAATTTATCCAACAATAACAACAACAACAACAACTTTAATATTATATTTTTTGATAACCTATCTATTTCATACAGTAACAAATGATTGTATACCATCATCTACAACATGCGGATGTTCGAAAGTAGCACCCATATTTAGTCGAATTGTCGGAGGTTATACAGCAAGGGCACATAGCTGGCCATGGATTGTTAGTATTAGAGAAAGTGTTTCTTCATCATTAGCAAGTCCTGGAGCGGCGATTTGTGGTGGAGTGTTGATAACAAATAAACATATTTTAACAGCCGCCCATTGTTTTTATGGTGTATCAGAAAGTCAATATTCAAAATTTTTTTTTGTTGTTGGTGCTACATATATCAATGATACGAATAATGTACGACTAACAGCAAAATCAATTCGACTCCATGAATATTATGATGATACGTCAAAGTTGAATGACATTGCTATTATTGAACTACGATCAGCTGTTGATTTTAATGATTCAAATATTGGTTCTATATGTTTACCTATTCATGTCCAAAATCCGGCTGGATATCCATCGGCTGATATGTTGACAGTGGCTATTGGCTGGGGAACATTGACTGAAAAGGGATCGGTATCATATACATTACAACAGGTAGAATTACCAGTAGTAGCAAGCACTTCGAGATATTGTTATAACCAAACAACAGATAATGATTCACAATTTTGTGCCGGTTTTATCAGCGGGGGAAAAGATACGTGTCAAGGTGACAGGTAAAAAGTTCAAATATTCTTCTCACGACGACTACTGTCCTCAATTTTTCTCAAAAATTTTACATCATACAACTCGTCCATGTTAACACTGTAGATGCGCACGTTTTCTTCAAATTCATCGAAGATATACTATGGCAACGAAACTTATGTCGAGTTTAGATGTAGCAAATATTTTTCCTTAAATTGATTATAAAATAAATCACGATTGGCAATAGACTTACAGATGGAAGACCGTTAAAATAGATCGAATCGTGCAAATAGAACGTTCAGTCTGAAGGTTGTGTACAGATGCCCGAGAAACTGTCAATGTTTACTTGTTCTTTAAACGATACATCGCTCAGCTCCGTATAAGCTTTCTGCAAAGCACTGTGGTCTTGGCGAAATGGAGTATGCATTTACGAAAAAGTTGACTGTTAGCCATATGGACTGCGCATCAGTTCTAAAATGCATTTACGTCATACATTTTAATTCTAACAGCACGAATGCCTTATTTTGTTGAATGTAAATCATATTATAGACCTGTAAAACTGTTCACTAGTACTTATAATCGATTCTATTTTTAAAAATAAATGTTCTATTTTTTTTAGTGGTGGACCATTAATGATTTTAATAAATACAACATGGTTCGTTGTGGGTGTGACCAGCTATGGAAATGGCTGTGGAAGAGCTCGCTATCCTGGTAATTCTAACTGATTATTTTATTTTTTGTATTGAAATCTTTACATAATTCTTGTCATTTGTAGGCGTATATACACGTGTTAGTTGGTATATGGACTGGATAAATGCCGCACTTAATGGTATTTCACAAACAACCACCATCAGTTCACCGAATACAACATCATCAACCACAATTCAAAGTAGCAATAGATATTTGTCTCATGTTTTTCTGCCGCTATTAATATCACAATTAATCACTTAAAACCAAAAGAAAATCATTATTAATATCTGTCTTGGGCATTATCCATATGGCTAACATGGATAAAAGAAAATAGTTTGATGTTTGAAGAATTCGATGTTCTTTATAGTATCATTGTTTTCGCTTGTTACAATACAGAAATTAATAAATCTTTTTATTTATTTTTATTTTTGCATTATTATGAACCAAACTATGTGTATGTTTTTTGTACAGTTTTTTTCACTTACGATTTGATGAACCCCGGTGGAGATCTTCTTATCTCTTTTCTCTACATCTTAAACTATTCTTTGTAAATTTATATTTGTGTATTTTATGATTATAGAAAGATTGTTTTCTATACTAGTTACCAAGATTTAGCGACGCTATATATTTGGTGAATGTTATGGAACTAAAGATTCTTTGTAGTTGAGCGATGATTGAATAAGTATGACAGGAATAACAAAGTTCAATTGTACTTGTATATGAACATGTGGATCATTTAAAGTATAAAAATTGTTGTATGATTTCTATCAATCAACCTTGAAAAGAAAAAATCGTCAGTAGACGCTTAGAGTACGTCAACAAAACGTCACGCAGAAAAATGTATTGAAAATTTTGAGATTCAGAGCACAGAATTGATGACCTTCATTTCAAAGTAGAATATTTTATAGTTCTACTGGAGTAAAAGTGTCTATTTTTTTATTATTACAAATTTTTAAGCTAAACTTGATAACTAACACATTTTTCCAAATACATTAATCATCTCAAAGGAGTTGAAATGAAACGTCTATGACATCTTTTTTTCATCTGAATTAAAATTTTTGTTATTTTCAATCCAATAATTTTTTCGATCAATACGATATAATTCTAATAATCAATAAAAATGAGTCAAATTTTAATTCCTATTAAGATTATCAATTCAATTCTATCTTTCTTTGATTATATGTCTGATGACCATAGTAAGTTTCACATAAGAGAATTCTACTTAGTACTTGTTTCAGCTGTATTTTCGATTCTCATAACCTACTCACAGGAGAAAAAAAAGAAAGAAAAAAAGTAAAATTCGTATGCGTTATGTCAACAGCAACTTGACATGATGGTAAATGACAAACGAAAAAAGAAAAAGAGTTTACTGCTACTGTTCATGCACATTTTTCTTATTATTACTCGATGGTATACAGTATGTTTAATATGCAGAAAAAAAGCTAAAGTACGATGTAAAATAAGCGACATATATATAATATATATAAAAAGAAAAAGGGAACATTAAATTTTCCTCAAAAAAAAAAAAGAAGAAAAATATAAGTCTGAATATATACTTTTTTTTCTCAATGAAGAAAGAGAAGCGAAGAGTCATCGCCAGTCTTTGAAGGCAAAATCAAAAGGTAGTACTTGCTCCGTATAAAAAGTTACTGCATTAGGTCTTGTCATAGAGAAAGAGAAAATGTTGATTACAATCGCTCAATTTAATAATTGGTGTCGTAGAATGTCAACTGGTATACATATCATATCTTTGCCGTAGCTTCTTCTTATTGAGAAAATGTTCAATGTTTTCATTGTGATGATTTTATTCATAGCATCTCATCACATTTATTGCTATAATAATCGTCCATCAGAAACATTTTATCAGCAACAACAACCGTCAAATAATCGATGGTATTATTCAAATAGAAATGATGATATTCGAGCAAAATGGTACTGGACACCTAATGATGTACCATCATCCAATTTTTACAAAAATATTCCAGAGAACGGTGATCAATTATCTTCAATATTTTGTGGACGAAGTAAAACGTCAATAAGATTTTCTCGAATTATGGGTGGACAAGATGCAGTACCGCATTCTTATCCTTGGATGGTCTCTTTAGCGAAACGATCGATTAACAATCAACATTTGTGTGGAGGAGTACTTATAACCAGACAACATGTAATAACGGCTGCGCATTGTATTGAAGATTTTTCAGGTGTTGATGATTTAAGTATTTTTGCCGGCATTCATTTTGCGGTTGGGAATCGTAACCCATATCAAGCTAGACAATTAACAGTTCATCCAAACTATGATTCTGAAACATTTGCAAATGATATAGCAATTATAACATTGCGAACACCAGTACCGGATAATGATGAACGAATAGGCGTCATCTGTTTGCCACAAGATGATGCGGGAAAGTCTTATCCATCTGCAAAAACATCATCTGTCGCTATCGGTTGGGGTTCAACATCATTCGGCGGTAAACCGTCGCTTTCGTTAAAACAAGTAGCCTTACCAATTTTGGAATCAAATAAATGGCCTTGTAATGGCTATTTAACTTTTCCATCAGGTCAAATATGCGCTGGAGAACTTTCTGGTGGAGCAGACACATGCCAAGCTGATTCAGGTATGATGATCTCAAAAGTGAGTTTTTTCGTCTCTTAAGTTGAAAATCACCTTTTCCATAGCTATAATATTCTTGACATATATAGTGACAGAAAAACTTAAGTAGACATAAAACAGACAGTCTCGGTTTCGATGGGATCGACGAGACTAGTTGTAGAAATTTTTTTGTTAAATTATAGATAACAACAATGTATAGTATTGTTCGGTGCAAAGAACTGCATAAAAAAACGTTCTACCATTAATTATGCTCTCTCTTGCAACAATGCTATAAGCTTTATCATAACCTAGAGATTTTATCGTACACACTACGTTAATTATCTAGAACACAGTAAGGCGTCTAGTGGCTAGTTGTTGCGTTAGCTATTCGTTGAATACATATAGAGCACGGTCCTAAAGTGAATCACACGATATGCGAACACTCTGCTTTAAAAATGCCAATATGATCAGGTTAATTGTCCGTTTTTCTTGAAAAATCTACAAGTCCCAAACATTCAAAACACCTTCTTTTGAGCTTTCTAGTTAATGACTGGATTAGCCACAAAGTCTTAAAAGGGGACATTTACTAATTCAACCCCACAGCTCACTGCTCCTGTTTAAAATTTTGCAGTAGTCCTTCTAGTTTACGAGAAAATCGTTACAGAAAATGACAGTTTTGTAGCCTAGAAAGTAAACATGCACTTTATTACTAGAATGCGGTATGCTTCGCACCGCATTAAAAAACGTGGTCGCAGCTCAATGTCTATTTGAAAGAGTAACAAAATTATTAGAACAACGACAAAATCAGCTACTTTAAAGTGAAATTGAGGAAAAAAATATTGAAAAATCTTCTGTTTCACATATTTAAGGATTATTTGTGAATATGCTTAGATGCGTCACTTATGCACTGTATATTCTCTATTTTAGGTGGTCCATTAATGATCGAGAACAATGATTTGCGTTGGGAGATTGTTGGTATCACATCATTTGGCAAAAGTTGGTAAGTTTTATATTTATAAATTTTTCTATTATAATCGACCATAAAATTGTTATATTTTTTATTAGTGGCAAACCAAATACGCCCGGTATTTACACACGTGTTAGCACATACAACAGTTTTATACGTTCAACTATAGCTAATCATTACTATACCTCTTCCATGATAAAGTCATCATCGCTGAGTTATTTATTATTGCTTCTCTTAATGATCACCAGTTTTTGGAATAGAGATATTTAGATTTTATTGTCGAGTTTTTTTACAGTGTTCAGATAATTTTCATTTTCTTTATATGCTTATTTTTTATAATATGAAATTTTTATTTTATTTTCTACACTTTTAATTTTATTTTGTACAATATTTGACTGTAGGAACAACAGTTACCCAACGTAGTATAACAGCAGATGTCATTTGTGAATTAGAATGAGTAATATTTTATTTTATTTCTCAACCGTTCAAAGGATCGTCTTATCACGTATTTTTGAGTTATGTATTTAATTATAAACTTGAGCTCAAGATGTTTTAAGTCATCGATGTAAAACAACGCACTAAAACAAACTAAACATTGACTTAAGTTTGTGATGAAACGCATGAGTGCAGGTGAAATCCAATGAGCGTCAAAATTATAGATACATCCAGTGGCGTTACTTAAAAATGACAACAATTTGCATCTCACATTTTGGATAAAAAGATTAAAATAACGTTAAAAGTTGTATTTTTCAGCTGCATTCTAATCTAGTAAACAAAACTGCTAGGATATTTAATCCAGTAGAAAAGAAAAGAAATCTATGACTTTTCAATTAAATACCATGAACCTTCAATATGACGTAAACCTACTATTCCCTATCACAAAATATAATGGTGCGGATATTTTTTGAATAATTGTGAAATATTTGGTAGACAACCTATATTGGTGAAAATATACAATTTTAAACTATTTTTACTAAAAACATAAACATTCTAACATCATTCAAGGGTAATTTGAAAATTACTGACTTACTCAATTTTACATGTTTAGCACGTTAATAGTATAAAAGATCTAAAAATACTGTCTTTCATAGACTGGATCTTTAGTCAAATTTTTCCAAAAACTTATAGGTATGAAATAAGATTTTCATCCAATTTTTTGTTAATTGAACTTGAAAAGTACTGCTTTCAGCATAAAAATTGAGCTTGTAATATTCGTTAGATCTTCGTATCTCAGATGTAAGATACAAATTGTTGTCGTTTCTAAATAGCACCACTAGATGTATCTACAATTTTGTTGTAACTGTTATAAGTAAATATTTGTAACATTGAAATAATTCATTATTTTCCATTGAGCTAAATCATTTTATATTTGAATCAATTTATCAACAGAATAGAAGAAAGGTGACATCGTCAAACCAGTTGCCGTCACCTCCACTGTGGATTATAAAACATAAATTTACTGTTACAAGTGTGAAAGAAAACAAGAAACAGAATAAATATCAACGTTTTTCTATACAACATTAGGTTGTTGTCGACGACAATATACGAATGTACTTGAACTATTTGATATAATAAAATCACTTAAGATTTCTTTTTAATTGTAGTCTACATACTACAAAAACAAATGAAGAGTAAAGTATTATTTATTTTTAAAATCAATTTAGTTGTAATATTAACCTCGTCTGCATACGGATCTGGTTCTAAATTAGTGTCTATTTTAGGTCTTGCACGCCATTTGAGTTTCTCATTAACTATCTAAAGGATAAATATACTAGAAAATAAAATATAAATTTATAGAAAGCTTATTATTTACCATTGGTCGAAGATACGATTGATGATTTTCATCAAAGTTTTCATTATAGGATTTTACTTTAGGTTTTACTTTCCAACGAGGCAGTTTGTTTATAATCTAATATTACATGTAAAAAGCATAAAGGGTGATGATGTGAAGAATGAAAATTACAGTTTATACTCTTGGTCGTGGTTGTTCTTGTAATTTTTCGATGTAGTTATCGTTTCGAGTATCTGATTTAGGCGTTTTTGTACGCCATGTTGGCTTTTCATTAAATACCTAAGCGAATAGATTTAAAATCTTTTTCATTTTAATGACATAATTAAAAAGAATAATTTACTAATGGCAAAGATTGTTGAGCTCTCATTCTCTCAATATAATCATCATTTCGAGCATCAATTCTTGGTGTTGTTGTCCACGGTATTTTTTTTTCGTCAAAAATCTATAAAAATATAAATATTTGAGTAATCTAGATGATAAGACGTACACAGATCGTACAGGTGCTCTAGCTGATTTTTGTCGTGCTTCTAAGGATTGCATGAATTCTTCATTGTAATGGTCGATTCTAGGAGTTGTTGTCCATGAAAATTTTTCATCAAAAATCTTAGGAAAAGAATAGAAGATTTTAAAAAATCAATGAATTTTATTAGCTAGGGATAGAATAGAGTTATCTATGCCCATAATGTTGCTTCAAAACGTTCTCAAAACTCACTCCAGGTTTTGCTGATTTTTTTCGTTTTTCTACTGCATAATCATAGTCTTCATTGTATGCATCAATTCGCGGACGTGTCCTCCAATTAAATTTTTCATCAAATATCTAAAATTATTTCATAAAAACATGTTATTTTATTGGAAACGGCAAAATCGATGAGTTATGTGAAGAGAGTAGTTATGTATTTTCTCTTCAGTGTTCTGTATCACAGATAATAGTTTCCAATAAGAAAAGTTTCTCCTCATTCGCAACAGAATGGGTCTATTCAACCTGAATACTCGTGTTTATCTATTACGCACTTTATTATTGTACATTATAGATTGATTGGATTAAAATTAGATATCATAGTATGAGAAACTAAAGTAAGAACTCACAGGTGCTTTCGCACTTTTTTCCCTTGTTTCTTTCTGTTGAATATATTCTTCGTTGTAAGCGTCAATTCGCGGAGTTTGTGTTGGCCAAGTAAGTCTTTCATCGTAAATCTAGAATGCATAATTGTATTTAGCTTTTAATAGAGGTTAACATCCTATAGGATGACTTACTCTACGTGTGGAAGCACTTCTTAATTGTTCAACAACTCGCTCATTATGTGAGTCAATTTTAGGTTTTGCATCCCAGGTAATTCGCTCTTGGTAGATCTTTGAAAAAATATTTCATATGTATTAGATTATACTATAAAAATAGAGGACTAACTTGTGGTTTTGGTGCATTTTGCAATTGTAATATAGCTTCTTCATTATGCGATTCAATCTTAGGATCCGCATGCCATTTTACACGTTCATCAAAAATCTAATTGAATATAGAATCAGATGTATGACGTTATATAGAATTGAATGTGATTTGTTGTTAAAATTTTACCTCAGGTTTCGGAGCACTTTTTAATCGTTCAACAACTTCCTCATTATGCGAGTCAATTTTAGGCTTTGCATTCCAAGTAACTTTCTCGTCGTAAATCTTTGGAAAAATTTTCATATTTATTAGATTATACTATAAAAATAGAAAACTAACTTGTGGTTTTGATGCATTTCGCGATTGTAATACAGTTTCTTCATTATGCGATTCAATCTTAGGATTTGCATGCCAGTTTACATGTTTATCGAAAATCTAATTGAATATAGAATCAGATGTATGACGTTATATAGAATTGAGTGTGATTTGTTGATAAAGTTTTACCTGACGTTTCGGAGGACTTTTTAATTGTTCAACAACTTCCTCATTATGTGAGTCAATTTTAGGCTTTGCATTCCAAGTAACTTTCTCGTCGTAGATCTTTGGAAAAATTTTCATATTTATTAGATTATACTATAAAAATAGAAAACTAACTTGTGGTTTTGGTGGATTTCGCCATTGTAATGCAGTTTTTTCATTATGCGATTCAATCTTAGGATCCGCATGCCAGTTTATATGTTCATCGAAGATCTAATTGAGCATAGTGTCAGATGTATAACGTTATATAGAATTGAATGTGATCTGTTGTTAAAATTTTACCTTTACAGTTGATTTTGGACGAGCCCTATATCGAATTCGACGTGGTGCAGGTTTTGCCTGTGCAATTCAAAATCAATTAGTAGAAAAATTGTGATCTCTACTCTATGTAATTATACCTCCACAGAAACATCCCTATGTATTCTCTTCAAAGGTACATGGATAACGGGAACGTTTACTGGCACAGGCACAGGCACACGTTTTACATATTGTACGATGGGCGCAGAATAGGTTGAGTATGGTTGATGTTCAATATATTCATTTATTTCACTAGCATTACTAACTGGTCGAGTTTTCTCGACAATTATCTGTTGATTAATTGGTCTTTCAACAATATCATAATCAAGAACTTTACCACTAGGATCTGTTCGAACTAGAAACACGTTCTAAGATCGAGAAAAAAAGTTAATTAATGATTAAAAATGTGCAAAATATTTATTAATTCAATTACCTCTGTTTGTCTTATTCGTCTCATTGTTTAATTTTAATAAACTGGCAACAACATTTTTCTATTGTGTAAATGCGTGGTGTTTTATCATTGAATGAAAAGTTGAATGCACACTTCACTTTTTGAAAGAATATGACTGTTATTTTGTAAACAATGTCACTTTCAAACACAAGAAAAGACATGAACAAGAATAACAATTTATATGTTTGGCAATAGATGGAAATTCCATAGTTTCATAAGTAATTTGAAATTGGTAGTATATGAAAATAAATTCGTTCAGTTTTGATAATATAGTAAAATTTCAAGATGATGCTAGTAAATCTTTATGAGTAAATAAATCTTGCTAATTATCTTGAAAATAATTATCACAGTTTTACCATATATTTATACTTATGTTGATTTTATTATCAACAATATTTTACTCCACATGATTGTTGTTCTCTTTGAATATTATATCGTACGATGTTAAGTAGAGGGAGTCAGAATATAGTTTTAAATAAGATCATTTAAGTGTATACTATGAGTCAAAGTTCTCCAGCATAGAAAATACTAGTAAATGCTTTTATTTTTCTATCAATTTAACATTGTATGTTACTAGGGTCTATTTGTCTGTTTTAAATAAAAATTTATGTAAATGTTTGAATGAATATTCGCCAATGTCAAATAATTTTAAATGAAAAGTTCTAGTTTCATGATATGAAAGTTTTATTTGACTAATATTGAAATCAAATGATGTTTGACTAACCTTGTATGCTAATATATAAAATAATCACTATAGAGCAAGTGACTAACACTTTTCTCTGTTCTGTTTACACCGACAAGAAGCTTCCCAATGCCACGATGAAGGAAAATTCTGTATTACTGCTAAAGGTTATGAAACTATTCGTTGGCATTTTTACAGGTACAAAACAGAAATAACGTTCAGAACATTTTCGGATAAAACAGAACTTATCTTCACCATGACCATGAATTTGTAGGAAGTTATCATCATCATCAAACAAAAAATGTTAGAAATAGTTAAGTTTAATAGGTAGATCGTCTAGTTCTTGTAGTAAGAATACACTTCGATTTAAATGACGAGTTCCAATTTGTATGTACATGATGCTTGAACAGTTTGCATCTGTTGTGGTTTTTTTGATCAAACAGAACGAAAACACTTTTCAAATACAAAAAAACCGTTGAGGATAGTTGTACAATAACTCCTTGTTTTTTGGCAATATGGCAGTTATGTGCTATTTGAATACATAAGCCATAAAAGAAGAAAAAAATGAAAAATAGCGTCTCTGATATTTATATTAAAAAATATTATGATCAAAGTATCTACCTTTAAATGTCTGCACAGTGAATTAATCCCGATTATGTACAAAAAAAAATATATAGACCATGTATGCAACTTGCCACTAGACAAAAAGAACAAAAACACGAAATTACTCTTGGTTCCAAACGATGAAGAGAATAACTCTCAACTTCTTCTTTTTTCTGTATTTTTTTTTTCAAAAATCGGGCGAGCAAGCTTCTTTCTTCTGTCAGTATGTAAGTGTATGCAGATCGGTGAGTTGATATAAAAGAAAATTGTTTTTAAATGCACACACTTGATCTTTTTCTTTTTTTTCGTTCGTACCCTCTGCATTCATAAATCAAGTGGCATTCATGAATTTCTTAAACAGAAACATTTAAAAATAAATCGGATAACAAATTCATTGTTTTTCGAATGAAAGAGACAAAACGTATCTGGAGTGTATAAAGTCAAGTAAGATTTTTTTTGAATGTAATAACAAAAGTAGTAGTGTTTTAAATATTATTTCCACAACCAAAGGAGATTAAAAGTTCTCTTCTTTTGATTACACAACAACAAAATCATCCAAGGTAACTAATCACTTTATCCGTGGTAAAATAGCATAAACTAAAGATTGACAGTAGAACTACTGACAAACTCAAATTTAGCGAATGAAATCTGATTTTTCACGGAAGTTAGTCATACTCTTCAGGAATCTGAAATGTAACCTAAATTCAGTTTTTGATGGTAATAGACTTGTAATTAATAAATTTTTCGTATATTTTTTATATAAGATATTTACTACTAAAAGAATGATTTACTGATTGTATTAGGGTACTTTCGCACAGATCTGCCCACTATTGTATGATGTAAACACTTTACTAGTGCTACTAAAAGTATGCTATGACATCCAGTCGCGCACCTGAAAACGTCATTCTGTACATGGTTTATCTCTGCTCATAAGTTGTGAACTTTAGCGGTTTTAGACTTTTTCTAACCGAATGATCTAGAATGACTATAAGCATTCGAGCGATCTCTTCTCACTCAATGAATAGAGCATCGAAAGTTGCGTAGTTTTCACTCAGAAATATACTTTTATCTTCAACGTGTAAAATAGTTTGAGTTGGAGATCTATTTACATTGAGAAAAAACTGTACATTTTATAGTAACCACAGCGAATCCAGCACAAATGAAACCCTATAAAATTTATAATCAAATGAAAGCTGCTTCGATGCTTGTTAGAATGACGCAATGACTAATTCCATAGCTCTTTTCATCCCCTCTATCCGGATCATATAGCCGAGCTCAGTTTTCAAAAATGTCATTTGGCTAACCTACCTCCTTACACGTCAACTTGTATAGATACTTATTTCTTGTATATTATCAGTCTAGTACTACTATAAAAACTAAACTTCTAGTGAAAACTACGCAACTTCCGATGCTCTATTCATTGAGTGAGAAGAGATCGCTCGAATGCTTATAGTCATTCTAGACTATTCGGTTAGAAAAAGCCTAAAACTGCTAAAGTTCACAACTTATGAGCAGAGATAAACCATGTACAGAATGACTTTTTCAGGTGCGCGACTGAATGTCATGGCATACTTTTAGTAGCACTAGTAAAGTGTTTACATCATACAATAGTGGGCAGATCTGTGCGGAAGTATTCAGTAATGAAAGAGAGAAACGATAAAAATGAGTATGATTCAGCTGCAGCTGTGCAATGGGAGCCAGCACAGGTTCCATGCAGAAAAGAAATACTTTTTTCCATATAATCGCGAAAAAGCGTGTGTTTGTTCAGCAAATGTACCACAATGTATAAAATTCTATAAGATAAGAATTATTTTGTATTTCAGAAAGATAAATCTTCTCATCATTAATAGTACTAGATAGGATAAAACACTAATAAACACAAGCTTGAGCGACGACACATTGCACACTGTAATTTTGAATTCATTTCTAGTTTATGGAAAATCGACTCAAAATTCACCAAGGAATTTCTAGTTTATAGAAATTCCTCGAGGAATCTTCGACTTTATAAAAATTGTTGAATTTCTACTTTATAGAAGTTTCGTTTGAAATTTTAAAAATTGGAATTTCTATAAATAATTTCCAAGAATCTTGAAATTCGTTTTTGATTTTCTATAAACTGGAAATTCAACATCTAATTTCCAGTTTCCTGAGAATTATTTATAGAAATTCGATCGATTTTCTAGAAAGTGGAAATTCACTCAGAAATTAATTCTACGCCAACTACGTATTCACCTTTTTATTTTGCAATCAGTGTAGGTATTAGAACGTCACGTAAATACATTTATATCACACTTAAATCAGCTTTGATAGTTTTCACTTTAAATCACAATTTTGCCTATGCCAGAGAGAATTTTGATTTAGGCAGAGATAGTGGTGGCGCGAAGTTTCAAAATCGGAGACGCTCAACAGAAGTTTCTCAAAAGCATGAGGGGACGAGTCTACGCCAATACAGCCCGGTCGCGCCGCCACTCAGTGCAGACTCTCTAAGGAATTTGCAGTTTATAGAAAATCAAAAAGGAATTTCTACTTTCTTGGGAAATTTATCGAAATTCATTTAATTTTATCGAATTTATCGAAATTCAGTGTCGATTTTGTATAAACTACAAATTCCTTGGCGAATTTCCAGCAGTTTGAAAATTATTTATGGAAATTCGAGGAAGAATTTCCAGTTTATAGAAAATCAAAGTCGAATTCCCATAAATAAATCCCAAGAAACTGGAAATTCCTCCTTGAATTTTCAGATTCTTGGAAATTATTTACGGAAATTCAGTGACGATTTTTTAGATTTTTGGCAATTCGATTTTCTATAAATTGGAAAACCCTCGACAAACTCTTATAGATGCTCTTTGAAATTCGGCGAGCATTTTCCGTGAATAATTTCCAACCTTACAGTGTAGTGTGTCTGACTTTCACGAATTGAGCTTAAAATGTTACTGTTTAGTTTACACCTGTTGGATATGTCATTAATATAAAGGAAAGTCAGTTGTATAAAAGAGAACTGCAACTAAATTTTTCTAGGACTTAGGGTTAAACAATGAACATAACGTAAAATACTTTTCTTATTGTTATATCAATAGCGATATATGAGTTTCTTTCTTTCTATTGTCCTTTCTCTGCGTTATCTTATCGCACTACTATAAGTAAAGGATCATTTACATGTGCATATCTTTGACGAGGTCAATGAATATAGATTTCAGACAATATTGTTTCGAGACAGACTACTCGCGATACATATTGATCTCCTTCTCTCACCAAACTGAGAACATTAAAAACTAAAGAAAATCCAGAGGCTAATCTGAGCGACCACAACGCTCATTGGCCAAAGCTTTTTGAAGCATAGAGAATCTGTTAAAAGTTAAATGTTAAAAGTTTCTTCATAATACTGTTTGTTCTGTAGATCGACTGTGTACGTGTTTTACCTAATATCCCAAGAATATCATCAATTTCTTTATAGAAACACCATGAGACATTAACATAGACTCTCTCAGACTAATTGACATAAAACTGCTTCTTGCGTTAGAAAATCGACAAAAAATAAAATTATGTCTCTTCGGCTATTCCAGATTTTTTCGATCTCAAATGATGAGTTTAATGTTTTTGAAATTTATAACTATCTCTCTCTCTCTTCCAAGCAAAAAGGACCCAATTTTTTGGGTTATTTTACCTAGATAAATAACCCAAAAAATTGGCTCATTTTTGCTTGGGCTGTTGAGTATAAAGATCTCAGCGTCTTAGTTTCTTTAAGTAGAATGATTTTTTAACATTTTTTGTACTAAAATCGGAAATTAAAACGTTTTGTGTCGCTGCCATAGTCACCGAATTTAAACCGACCTTCTATTTTTTTTGAACAGTTGTGTAAACATGCATAACTGTATAGTGAACAGCAGATTTACTTATCTTTTCTCTCATTTCTTTTTCGTTGCCTTGTACTTGAACACATATTAGTTTTCTGTTATAACTTTGATCATCGGTATTATTCGCTTTAGACTTTATTCAATACAGTTTAAAATTGAGTTAAATGTACAATAGATCGAGAAAAAAAAATACACAAGTTGCTATTATTTTCATTCTTTCTGTACAGCAGGCGAGTGTGTGTACTCACACTCGTTTGAACAATATTTAGCGATTACAATAAGAGAAATTAATTCTATTTTTTAAACAGTATAACTAATACCATATTTGTTTATTAAATTATTATTTACTTCTTGTATGTGTGTATAGCAGATATGGCTTCTATTATTGATCAGTCATTAAAAGAAACCGTTTTAACACGATTGTTTCATTCATATTTGACATATGATGAGTTAAAACGAAGAGATGATGCTATAAAGTAAGTGACAATTAAAGTAAATGTTTCTAATTGTGAACGTTTCAATATTGTTCCCAATATCAATAGAGATTAAAATATTTATAAATAAAAAGTGTTTTATTATTGAGTATTATCATTAGTTATATTTTGGATGCAATTTCGATCTAACGATAAATAAATAGTTTTAGTCTAATATTGGTAGTAATTTATTCTTTTCTCTTTTAGATTTTTTATTTTTGTTGCAAATCTGGAAAAATCGTCAGTCTCATTGTTCTCTTCACATTGTATCGTTCAATAACATCACTCAGGATTCAACCTTAAAAAGTTGATCTTTTTGATAAAAATATACAGATTTGACCTTTGTATTTCACTTTGTTGTGACTAATCGTGATTATCAGTATATCATAAAACTAACACTAGGTATCAGAAACTCGTGAATGTGTGTATATAGATAGATATATATATCAAAAGAGAAAAAAGCAGAGAAGAAGAGTATAGAGATAAGAGTATAGAACGAAAATGATTAATGAATTCGACTGTACTGTCCCGATACATTCCGAAGGCTAACAATAAGCAAGTGAAAAATGAAATTATTTAATTAATCCGTTAAAAAAAAGTCTTTTTAGAATAAAAAATTTTTCTTTGCCTGTGTACACTGTCTTGAAACTGTTATATAAAATGATGATGAATGTTAAGAATGAGTATGTATTTAAGAGAAGAAAAATCCTTCATATATAGTTGTAATGGAATATCTTAAAATAACAGATTTGTATCGAATACGAGTTTTGAATATCAATGACTATATGTTCAGAAGATTTAAGAAGTATAATAAAAAAAGAAAAAAAAAATTTAAAATGTTTTTTAATAGTAAGAATGAATAACTACAAATATTTTATTTTACTGTAATAATGTTGTATTACTTGGTGACCAATTTCCTATATGATAACGCCGAGTAGGTGATGTTTATTTTATCAATTGTACCATTATTACTATAGTCTTCTAGGATAAAAAATCGAGTT